AACATCTGTGTCTTCTGGTCTGTTTGCTCTGCTTCTCTTTGCATTGGTGTCATCCTCAGGCTTCCAGATGACATCAGAATCGGCCTACCTCAGGTAGTTCTAGACATACATACTGTTGGATTACCAAACTGAAAGGAAGGAAAAGTGCCTCTTCCCAATTATTGCAGCCTAAGTTCCAGAGATGAACTTGATTAGCCCGGCTGGGGGCTCTGCCCATTTTTGAGGCAGTAACAGATCTCTGAAAAACGCAAAGCTCTGATGAGCCAAGCCTAGTCATGTGCTCATATCTGGGATTAGTTTCATCCAGACCACAAGGCTTCTGAGTGCAGGTGCAGGGATTCTGCTAAGTAACCCAAACTCTAACTCCAAGAAGGCAGATGTATGCCAGCCTGGCAGAAAGCACGGCTGCTCACTTTGCTTTCTTCAGTGTGCAATAGCTACTGTTCTTGTGAAACAACAGCAGGGAGATTGAAGTGACATTTATTAAACACTTGACACTATAGGAGAGGCTTTGCAGTATGTAGTAAGTCCTCAATAAATGTCATGGAAAGAGCACACTTACAAGGGAGTAAATAGGAAGCAGACATTCACACGGTGCCCGATAGAAGCAGGGCACACATGGGTTTATGGAGTCTCGGAAACGAGGCAGTTAACAAAGAGAAGGGATGAACGGCCCATTTTTGCAAAGGAACTCCTTGGAGACAGGCCTCAGAGCTGCTTAATTAACATGCCAAGTCTGCCCTGGAGGAAAGGAGGGCTGAGGACCTATGTTGCAAAACACCTGTGGAGGGCTGGCATCGTGGCAGATGCTGCCAACCCATTCTGGAACCCTGTTCCAACCCCAGCTGCTCTGTTTCTGCTCTGACTGCTTGCCAACACTCCTGGAAAAACAGTGGAAGAGGGCTCAAGTGCATGGGTCTCTGCACCCACATGGGGATGGGAGCTCCTGGCTTCAGCATGGCCCAGCTGCAGCTGTGGCAGCCATGTGGGGGAGTGAACCAATGGTTGGGGGAAATAGACAAAGGAGCAGTCACTGAAAGTAAATGAGGAGAAGGCAAGAAGGCAGGTGACCCTGGAGACCAATCTCCAAAACAGTGGGTGTGAAATGAAGAGGCTGCGCTTTCAGTTCTGGACAAGGGAAGAAAGGGAAGAGGTGAGTGGAGACTACTGCCCGAGCATGCCTGGCCAAGATGGTTCTAGCCAGACAAGCAGGGGACGACGGGTGGAGGCTTGTATGACAAAAGAGCATGAGAAGAAAGCTTAGGAACAGCACAGCATCCCTTCCCATGGTTCTGGAGGGTGGGAAATCCAAGGTCAAGGTGCCAACAAGTGTGGTGTCTCCTAGCTGGTGGCCAGCACCTACTTACCATGCCCACACACAGTGGAAGGAGCAGAAGAGCTCTCGGGGCCTCTTCAGGGCACTAAGGTCACTTATGAGGACTTTCACTCACCCCCCGAGTCCCATACCCCCTACTCCCAAGCTTTGGTGGTTAGGATTTCACAAGCATTCAAATGGTGGCACTGAAAAACAGAGTGAGGACAGAAGGTCCATAGCACAGCACAGCCCTGATAAGGTGTGTGTGCAATTCTGGCCACTCACACGGGGCATCCCAGGGGTCGCAGAAAGGATCCTTACAGTTTCTGAAGGACTGCTCCTAGAGCTCAGACAACAGAGATAGGGACTTTCTGAGTTAATAGGCAAAGATGAAAAAAAAAAAAAGACAATAATGGAAACAATGCAGTGGAGAAAACACAATTTGCTCATCAGCTGCTGCCATTCTAAGTCTGCAGCTGGAGTAATGTGCAATGCAGTCAAAGGAATTCCAAGCTTTAGTTTCTCCTTTGTGTGACAGAGGGGGCTGAAGTCACTATGGTGGTAAGGCTGCACTGAGGTTGATCAGATGACTGTGCCTGACACACAGGAGGGATGGGGCAACTGAAGCCATCTGTAATAGCACACTGTCAAGCAGACTGGTCCTCTCCATCCCCAGAAAGCCACAGTACCCCACCAGGCCAGCAGGAAGATGATACAAGATCTTGCGTTCATTCAACTACCATTCAATGACTCTGAGTCACCAGCTAGCAGGCCAAGTGCTGTGGGAAACCATGAGTGAGAAAGTTTTGTCTTCATGGAATGAACAGTCTAATGGGAGTCAATGATCATGGAAAATCAGCTGACAGAGGCTTCTGTGGGAGCTCCAGGAGAGATCATGCAGGTAAGCTGGCAGGGCTACGACAATGGTCACCACTAAACCATTACTGAAACCATACTTGCAGCACAGCTGCTGTGGCACAGCCCGCCTAACTGCTGCTTGTAACACCTGCATCCCCTGTCAGAGTGCTAGTTCTAGTCCTGGCTCTTCCATGTCTGATCCAAATCCCTGCTCAAGTGTCTTGGGAAGGCAGCAGATGATGGTTCAACTACCCGAGTCCCTGCTATGCATGTGGGAAGCCTGGGGTTCCTGCTTCTGGTTTTGACCTGTCTCACTTGGGGGGAATGAGCCATACGAATGAAAGATCTCTGATTTTCAGTTCTACCTTCCAAATATGTATCTTTTTAAATAAAGCTTTTGGATTAGTTTTCTACTGCTGCTAGAAAAAAAAATGACAGTGGCTTCAAACAGCATAAATGTATTATAATTCTGGAGCACAGAGGTCTGAGATAGATCTTGTGGGTTAGAAATCAAAGGTTGCACTCCTTCCAGAATCCCAAGGAGATCCCTGCTAGCATCATCTCCAGTCCTTGTTTCTTAGACCCAACACTCTGACTTCCACTGCCCTTGTGCCACCCCCTTCTCTCACCCTGACCCTCCTTCCCCTCTTCTATAACTGCCCTGGATAATACTGGAGTAATCCTCAAGTTGTTCTTTTTTTTTTTTTTTAACTGAATCACTCCTGTGAAATCTGTTGCCGTGGAAGGTGACACAGTCACAGGTTCTGGTACATGCACCTCTTTGTGGCATGGGGGAGGCATTAGTCAGTCTACCCAGCACTCCTGGGCAGGAAACAGGCTACCCCAGGAACCAGTGAGCATAAGTGGTGACCTTGGAATGCCAAGCTGTCTGCTCCAGCTGGTGTGTGGGAAACAAGATGGGTCCTCGAAGGTGGACTGCAGATGCCCCTTGTAGGGCACTGTGGCTTGGGAGACTCCCACAGCTGTCCAATGGGCACACTAACACCATCATTAATAAACACCAACACTGGACCACAGCCAGGATCCCGGCTGCTGCCACGCAGGAGACCCACACCCTCTGGCATGACAGTATTTATGCTCTCGATGTCATGAAGGGGATAAACAGAATCACACCGAAGGGCTGGAGCGAGAATGAATGACAATGCAAGGAAATCACCTGAGCTAGCGCCTAATTCTCAATCTGTTCTGCAAAACCTCTGGACCCCTTCTCTCCCCCCGCCCCCGGTTTTCTCCGGGTCTCCCCAAAGCCTTCGCCTGCTTGTCAATCATGGCAGAGCCATGGGAAGAATCACGCCACTCTTGGGGCAGAGGTGGTGGTTAGGACAACAAAGCAGTGCTGCCCAAGGAGCACGCTATCACACAAGCACTTGGGCTGGCTGCTGAAGCTATCCAACACTCCAATCTCCCTCTCTGTGCGATGGGACTAAGATGCTCCCCAACCAGGCTGGTGTGAGGATTACGGGAGCTGATGCATGGTAAGGGGTCAACACGGTAAGGGGACACAAGATTAAGAGTGCCCCAAGAGCGGCATGATTCTTCCCAAGACGGAAAGACTTTCCTTCCAGCCACTGGACAGTCCCGGATGGCCCACTTCTCCCCCAAAGCCCATTTCAGCATGTAACGCATGGCTTGTCAACAAACTCCCCCTGTCTCCCAAAGGGTCCTACACAGCCTCGCAGCCCCAGTTGTCTGCCTCCCAGTCATGCCTGAGGGAGTCAACAGGCCCCAAGCCTGGTACTCGCAGGTGTTTTTCTGGCACAGTATGCTGGAAAAGTACTTCCCTCTTTTCCCCAGGCTTAATTTCCTTATTTGGCCAAGTCCACTGTTCTGGACTGGCTAAAGGAGCCCTTCCAGTTCTGAGATCTTCAACGGGCGCGACTTCATTATGGAGCAGCCATCCCATACGGTTAACTGCTGCACCCCGTCTCCTCTTCCAGAAGCGGAACTGAGTGCTCTTTTTTTTTTTCCAGGAGGAGAAACTCAACGCTAAGCTGCCCTCGCCAGGCCTCCCGGAGGGCACAAGGCGCTGTTCTCCTAACCCAGCAGCGGGGCTCGGGCCGCCGGAAACACGTGTGTGCTCACCTACGTGGACACACGTGAGCACACCTACAGCGGCAGGGGGCGCTCGGGCCGGCAGGGGGCAGCACAGACCCGGCTTGCAATTACCCGGCGTAGCCCCGAGGGAGGAGGGCGTGCTGCAGTCCCGGCGGCGGCGGCGGCGGCGGCTGGAGGTGCAGCCTCCCAGGTGGGAGGCGGGGGCTGCGGGCTCAGAAAAAGGCGCCTTGGGAGCGGGCGCTCGGCGGGGCCTCCTCGGGCCCCGGGCGCGGCGCGGCGAGTGGGAGCGAGCGCGCCCGGAGCACGCAGGCGCCCTGCTCCGGCTGGCCCTCGGCCCGCGCGCGGCGGCGGCGGCGGCAGCGGCGGCGGCTCGGGACCAGCCCGCAGCCCACCGCCCGCAGCCCCCCGGGGCCGCCCGCGGGCCGTCGCGAGCGGGGTCCCCTCCGCGCAGCCCCGCACAGGCCGCCGGCCTCGGAGGAGAGCGGGCGGGCCTCGGCGGCGGCAGCCGGACGGCCCCCCGGGGGCCACCACCCCCCGAGCGCGCCCTCCCGCCTCGCGGCCACCCGAGGCCGACGCTGGCCCGGCCGGCGCGCCCCGCAGGCGGCCGGAGCGCGGCCTCGGCCTCGGCCTCGGCGGGAGCGAGCCCCGGGCCGCAGCCCGCGGGTGGCGCCGGCGGCCGCGGGCACTGACGGCGTCGCGGGACGCTCCCGGGCGGCGGCGCACGGGGCGGAGGCAGGGGGCGCCCCCAGCCAGGATGCTGCGGTTCCTGCGCCGGACCTTTGGCCGCCGCTCCATGCAGCGCTACGCGCGCGGCGCGCCGGGGCGCGGGGCCGCCGGGCTGGGGGACGAACGCGACGGGGGGCACCGGGGGTGCCCGGCCGCCGCTGCCGCCGCCCCCTCGGCGCTGCCCGCCGCCCCCGGGGGCAGCGTGTTCCCGGCCGGCGGCGGCCCCCTGCTCACGGGTGGCGCGGCCGTGCACATCTCCGCCGCCGGAGCTGCCAAGGCCACCCTCTACTGCCGGGTCTTCCTGCTCGACGGGACCGAAGTGAGCGTGGACCTGCCGGTGAGTGACGGGGGCCCGATCCGGGGCACTGGCGCCCCGCGCCCCTCGGGACGGCTCTCCCCTCTTCCCCCGTGCTTTCCGTTCGGGCGCTCCCCTTGCGGCCCTCCGGAATCCCCTCCCCCATCGCGGCGTGGGAGAATTCCTAAGCCACGTTCCCGTTCGGGCTGAGCGTCCCGAGCTCTTCCCGGGTCTTTGACTTTCGCTCCCTGCCCGACACCCTTGCAGCTTTTCGTGACGCCCACCTAGTCTTTGGGGCCTCACCCCTTCGCTTGGGAGCGCAGTCCTCACGTTCCTGCCCCCTTTAGCGCGGCGCGGGTGGCAGGGGTTCCTGGCAAGTGCTGCCAGTCCGCCCTCAGGATCTGGCGGGGCCTTCTGGATGCAGCCATCCCGGGGTGCCCTAGGGTGGAGGCTTGCGCCCCCCACCCGCAACCCAAACTGGCCATCGGGTCTAGATTAGACGCTGAAGAGAGGGCTCGCTCCACCTGCTATCCGGCAGGTGTTCCAAAGTTAGGGAGAACGTTAGGTGGCCACTTTTGCTCTCATCTCACCGCCTCTGGCTCGTCCCCCAACCCCATTCCGAAGAGGTTCTCTGTCTGGCTAGGGTGAAGCGCCCCGGGGAGCTAACTCGGGCTCTCTGGAACACCTGGTCAACTTTGCGCTGGCAGAGCCTTGGCAGGGCCGCCTAGAGTCGGCCGCGGGGCCTGGGGGAGCTGGACTTGCCCGGCTTTGGAGCCAGCGTTCGTGGGGCTGGCGGGGCGCCCCAGGGCGGCTGCGCGCGGGCCTGCGTCCCGGCCACCCGCAGCATACAGGTGGTTGCGCCTCGCTCGGCTCCCGCAGGGAGCTAGGCCGGCGCGGCTGTCCTCGGCAGGGAGCCCAGCTGCCCGAGTCTCTCTGGCCGAAGGGGCCAGATGAGATGAGATCAGAGCCACCCATTAACGGGGCGCCTGCCGCGCACCCGGCGCTGCGGCAGACGACGCCTTCGGGAATCTCTGGGTGTGATGAGGACACAGCAGTAATTGGGCTTTAGATGGATGTTACAGCTCATGGGGAGGGTTGCGAAGGGAAGAAAGGACATGCCCAGACTGCCCAAGGAAGCCTGTGGGCCTTGCGGGGCGGTGGGAATCCTTTGGACTTGGAACCAGGGAGGGTCTCCGTGGGAGGGCTGGGAGGGCTGGGAGGGCGGGATGGGGGATGGCCGGACCACAGCCTTCTCTCCTTGCCTGGGGCGGAACAGCCTCTCTTTAGATTTGATTTGGAGACTGTTTGAATGTGTGGCAATTTTATTTTTGTGATTCCTTGGGCTCACCATAGGATATCAGTTTGCTATAAAAATTCCTTTAGCTCTCCCCCCCTCCTTTTTTTTTTAAATTTATGGAAAAGCAACCAGTGTTCCAGTGGGTGCTTGGAATTGTTGTCTTGAACATAAAATAAACATGTTATTGCTTCCCAGAAGGAGGCCCCAGGGCTTTTCCTGTGCTGGGAGTGAAGGCCTGGCGAGCCAAGAGCGGAGGGGATGCGAGCTGGCTTCCCCGAGAGTGGGTAGCTGGTGTGGGAGAGGATGTGGCGTAGTTTGCAGCTGGGAGAGGAATGCTAAGCTTGGGAACTTTGACAGGGCTCCTCACCCGTGGCTTTCTGGTCTTGTTCCCTGGGGATAATTCGTTTAGGAAGTGTATTGCTCCTGTCAGGTTGGGTGCGACAGGCTGAAAGTGGTGTTTCTGAGAAGAAAATGCCAGCTGAGTAAAAGGCTTGCCTGACCAATATATCCAAACAGGTGCACAAACTAACGTGTTGGGCCAGGAAGGCTGCCTTGTCGCCCTTGGCAAGGGGCCCTGCTGGGGCAGGAGGAGAGGCCCTTGGCTTCCTACAAGGGTTCTATCCCAGTACAGCAGTAGTGACTTGAGGGATCCAGGTGTGTCTGGCCATGGCAGGTTTCTGGTTGCCATTTAGCAAGTGGTTGAGTGGCCCCCCTACTTTATGTAGATGCACACACATACACACACACACACTCCATCCAAACACAAATACCAGGCAAATGTAGCTGTTGTCATGTGAGCTCTCAAGGATGAAAAAATGGTCAGCCAGCACGGCTCATGGATTTCAAGATTGGCGAACTATTAGAAGGGCATTGCACGGGATCCCTAATGTTTCCAGATCTGACCGTTGGTCCCTGTAATGAATTTGCAGATTTATGGGGTTGGCAGCCATTGCCCAGCTCCACAGTGAGTTGTGTTGGTGCTCAGCCCCCCCAGATGTTGTTATTATTTCATCTTTTTGGGACATTTTGACCCCCATGTCATTCTCCTCTTCTGTGTTCCTGAATTGTTACTGCTTCCCTCCTCTGCCGTTGTCTAGCTGCGTGTCACACAGATAGGATCCACCTCTGACCACCATACCCACTCTGGGCTGGCTTCTCCCTGTTGTTCCTGGGCATGGGTAACCAGGGACCTTACCAGGCTAACTGTGGCCCTTTGTCAGGAAACACTCTGGGGGGCAGGAGCCTCGAGGACTCCTTCGCCCAGCCTGCTGAAAGTGGTGATGTGTGGTCATAAACTCTTTTATTAGTCCTCCTCAAGTCATTTGTCCTGTGACATGGCTGTGTAACTGGGCCGTGTGGCTCAGGCTCCATTTATTGGGCATTTTTCATGTGCCCAATGCCAAGCTGTTGACACAAAGGTGAATGAGACACAGCCTGGAGGCGCTTAGGAGACACAGGTTGAAACACTTTTTTTTCTCATTCTGGGTGATATGGAGAGAGAACAGGTGCAGCCAGACTCTGCGCTGGGCAGATGGAATGTGAGGATGGGGGCAACTTCCCAGAGTCTGACACCTGAGAGTGTGGGACCTCAGACCCCAAGCCCTGTTTTGTCAAATGAAGGAGAAAGCCACTGCGCTTTTCCTCTGTGGGGAGTCTGCTCTGCTGGGAATGCGAGGATCCTGGTCCCTCTAGGTGGTGCTAACCTAGCCTAAGGTGTTTCAGTCTTGGCTGCAGTGAGTAAAAGGATAAGTTGAAACAGCCACATCTAAGATGCCTTCTCAAGTGGACTTGCTCTGCAAACCCAACTGCTTCCAAGTCAGACTGTAGCTTCCTCTCCAGCCAGAGTGCCATCTGCAGCCACTCCTGTCTTGGAAGGCACCTTCCTGCTGCCTAGCCCTCAAGTGTAGTCCTGTCTGAGCAGGACAGGACTACCTCCCTCCCTCTGCCTGCCCTAGACACTTTCCCTGTATTAATGCAGCTGAAGATCCCATTAGTGTGCTTGGCAGCGGCACCCACTGTTGACTCATATTAGCTCTCTGTTGACTAAATCCCTGGCATTGCTTTTGCTCGTGTGACTGCTGCTCAGTCCCGCCTCCCATTGCCCTGTGCACACAGCCTTCCAACAGCTCTGGGTGGAACGCTGTTAAGATGTGTGGCTGGCTGGTCAGCACTGCCCCCCGGGCCTCGGAGCCAGTGCAGCATTTGGCGCAGTGGCTTTCTCCATGTCTGGAGCTTGACTGTTGACTCACTGGGGGCGCAGGACAAACATGGAGGAATTCAGAGTGAGATCTGCATTGGCAGCTTCCAGCCTGGCTGTGCAGCCTTGGGCAGTTCCAGCTCTCTGAGCATCAGTTGTTTGGGCTATAAAATGAGGGGTCTGGGAGGAATTCATGATGGGCAGGGCATAAAGAACCCTAGTAAACAGCAAGATACTAAAGGCCAGGTGGTAGGTTGGAATCCTGTAAACTTCTCCCACTCGTGTTTGGACTGTGGAAAGAATTTGACAAAATTTCTAATAACGGACATTTAAAAAATTAGAAGAAGAAAAAGCTATGCCACGCAGCCCAACTATTGGCTCCGCTGTTTGTGGAAATTGGAAGTGAAAAGATCTTACTTTTTAGATGAGAAAAGAAGCTAATCCTTGGTTCTTCCTCTCCTTGCCCCCCTCCCAAATACGCATAAAAAAGCAGGTTGCCTTTTTTATAGGACTGAAGCCTGTGATCCACCAGAGCACCTGTGGCAGTGTAAGGGTCATGGGCCTAGCTTAAGGGTCTTGAGCTTTATTGTAGCATTGAGACCAACCTTAAGGCAACAGACCACCTACCCATTGTATGGGGTGGGAAATGGGACTGTGGATGTAACCTGCCCACTTGCTCAGTTGACAGTAGGAACCCAGAAGGCGTAAAGAGCCAGCAGTAGGGAGGAAGATGAACCCAGGTCCTAACAGGATCGTGGAGGGTGGGGTGAGGGCAAGGGTGCCCTGTCTCTTGGCCCCTGGAAGGAGGACAGAGTTTCCCAAACCAGTGGGCAACTCTAGCAAGATGATTGTATATGCATGCAAAGTTCACCTGGGATGAACTTTTTTTCTCCCCCTCCTCCAATTACAATTCTAGAGCCAAGCCACAGAATTTCTGATTGTATGGCTCAGGAAGCTGGACTTTTTAGAAAAAAAAATTATCTGAAGCAATTAGCTTCCATCTGCTGGTTCACTCCGCAGCTGGCCACAGTTGCCTGGGCTGTGCCACACCAGAGGCAGGAGCTTCTTACAGGCTCTCATTGGGGTAGCAAGAACTCAAACACTTGTGCCATCTTCCATTGCTTTTCCCAGGCCATTGGAAGGGGGTCTGAATTGGAAATGGAGCAGCTGGGATGAGAACTGATGCCCAGGTGAGATGTTGGCATCATAGGTTGCAGCTCCGTGCCAGGCCCACAGTGCCTGGCAGCCCCAGAAGCTGGACTCTCAGCGAGTACTGCAGGTGACTTTGACAAGGGGAGTGGTCCCTTCATGCTTTTCTGAGAAGGAGGTCTGGTGCTAGACCAAGAGAAGCTACACTGTAAGGCAGCCTCTCAGCTCATGATAAGCTGCAGCAGGCAGCGCACTGGCTGTGGCCTGATGGCTTTGAGCTGAAGCTGGACCGTGTTCTAGGGAGCCTGAATTTGCTGCCATGGCATGGAGGCTGGCGGTGCTGCAGTGGTCCAGTGACAGGGATGACGAGGGCCAGAATTGTCCCAGTGGAATCCGATG